AGGTATGTACTTATTGCCATTGCAGACTTTAGATTCATGGTTACCAAAGGTTCAAGGTTAACTACCTTACTATCTAAGAGTCTAACTTAACTCACTTAATATGCTATTATAAACACAATCTAAGGGTTCTTTTCTTTTTCTCCTCCTTCTTCTTCCTCCTCCATTCTTTATATATTAGTTATCATATTCTGTACTCTGTCTATTTCTTGATTGACTTTGAGGATAGTTCATTTAATTTTGCATTTGCTTAGTAATTAGCTGTTCCACTTTCTTTACTGTGGTTTTATTACCTCTGGTGACAGCTCTTAAACCTTAGAAACACTTCTATCTATAGCAGTCCCTCCAAAATACACTGTAGAGATGGTTTGTGGGAGGTAAATTCTCTCAGCTTTTGCTTATCTGGAAATTGTTTAATCCCTCCTTCAAATTTAAATGATAATGTTGCCAGATAAAGTAATCTTGGTTCCAGGCCCTTCTGTTTCATTGCATTAATAAATACATCATGCCATTCCCTTTTGGCCTGTAATGTTTCTGCTGAGAAGTCTGATGTTAGCCTGATGGGCTTTCCTTTGTATGTGATCTTATTTCTCTCTCTGGCTGCTTTTAATAGTCTGTCCTTATCCTTGATGTTTGCCATTTTAATTACTACATGTCTTGGTGTTATCTTCCTTAGGTCCCTTGTGTTGGGAGATCTGTGGATCTCCATGGCCTGAGAAACTATCTCCTTGGCCAGATTGGGGAAGTTTTCAGCAATTACCTCCTCAAAGACACTTTCTATCCCTTTCTCTCTCTTCTTCTTCTTCTGGCACCCCTGTAATGCGAATATTGTTCCGTTTGGATTAGTCACACAGTTCTCTCAATATTCTTTCATTCTTAGAGATCCTTTTTTCTCTCTGTGCCTCAGCTTCTTTGTATTCCTCTTCTCTAGTTTCTATTTCATTTATCATCTCCTCCACTGTATCCAATCTGCTTTTAATACCCTCCATTGTGCTCTTCAATGATTGGATCTCCACCAGAATTCATTCCTGAGTTCTTGAATATCTTTCCATACCTCCATTAGCATGTTAATGATTTTTATTTTGAACTCCTTTTCAGGAAGAGTCATGAGGTCGATTTCATCTTTCTCAGAAGTTATATTAATTTTACTCTGAACCAGGTTCCTTTGGCGTTTCATGTTTGTATATGGCGCCCTCTATTGCCCAGACGCTCTGGTCTCTGAAGCTGCTCATCCCCTAGAGTGAGGTTGGGAGTCATAGGGGAGTGGCAGGTGCTGGTGCCTGTGGGGAGGAAAGAGCTGTTTCCTGCTTCCCGGCTGCTATGTTTGTCTCTACTGCCTGAACCAGTGGGCCAAGCACACAGGTATAAGCCTCTATGCTTTGCATTTGTAGTTGCTGTAGACAGATCTTCCCTCTGGCTGGCCTAACGTCAGGGTAGGGTTTGCTGGTTTGCGAATGAGGTGGGGCTGGCCAGGAGTAAGGCACAGTAGGCTGCTTATCATGGAGGGGGTCATTGGAGGAGCTGTGTAGCCAGCCAGGGAGCTGGAGCACCTGAAAATTGTGAAAGCTCCCAACCTGCTGGGCAGAGTGCACCCGGACAATTTTGTCTACCTGTCCTTTCTCCTGAGCAGTAAGCTCTGTGCAATCCTTCCCCCTTTAGCAGCCCTCTTGCTAAGGGCTTCCTTGTTAGGAAGTCTCTCAGACTGTCTGCCTTTCTTCTGTCCCAGAGCAGCCAGATATGGATCCCTGCTTTCCACAAGCAGCTAGAATCTCAGTCTCTCCAGGAATTCTAGCTGTCTAAGCTTTCCAATCCCCTAATCACAAGAATATCATGAAAGTACCATGAAATGTAGGTTTGTGCTCCTACAGCAGATCTCTGGAGTTAGGTGTTCAGCAGTCCCAGGCCTCCACTCCCTCCTCGCTCCATTTCTCTTCCTCCTGCCAGTGAGCTGAGGTGGGGGAAGTGCTTGGGTCCCGCAGGTCCACAGCTTTGGTATGTTACCCTGTTCCATGAGGTCTGTTCTTTTCTCCAGTTGTATGCAATCTGGCGCAGTCCTCTTCCCTGTTGTTCTTTCAGGATTAGTTGTATTAATTATATTTTCATATTATATGTGGTTTTAGGAGGAAGCCTCTGTCTCACCTCTCACACCACCATCTTTAATCTCGCAAGCTGTTTTGTTTTGTTTTTAATAGAATCTTCAAACCTATAATTAAAGCAATGTAGTTGAGGCTATTGCTTTCATTTTTGGGAAATAACCTCGGTATAGAAAAAAGGTGACTATTCTTGCCAAATGTGTTTTCCAAAGACATAATTTCACAAGGAATAAGAATGAGCATTATCATACATAATGTGGGGGGTGTCACGGGGAAGGCAGTATAACACAGAGAAGACAAATAGTGATTCTATAGCATCTTACTATGCTGATGGACATAGATGGGTATGTGGTGGGGACTTGATAATGGGGGGAGTCTAGTAACCATAATGTTGCTCATGTAATTGTACAAAATAAAAAAAGTAGTAATAATAATAATAATAATAAAAGAATGAGCATCATACATTTACGTAAGTCATAATGTCAGCTAAAAAGCCAAGTCTGGGATCCAACCTTTGTTTGGGAACAGAATTAGGAATTTTCTCTTGGATGACAAAGAGAGTTGATTTCTTTCAAATTAGAAACAAAATCTCTTCAACAATACACTATGGCCATACAATCTTGAAACAGCCAATGATCATATCTGCATTCAATATGAGTAAAGCGCTTAACTATCTGTGGTTGAAACCACAGAAATGTATTTAGTCTTAGAATTCATAACATAGTGCATTTTAAACTTTCAACAAGAGCAATTTCTAGTGAACAGTATAATGACAAAATCTCTACACCTCTGTGAAATATTTCTACATTAGTTTAGATTTTAATAAGTTTAAAATTAACACTGACCATCACAGCAACACTGCCTATAGTTATGATTACTGATTTTGACAAATTTCCATTACACTTCATAGGACGTTTCTCAATACTTACATCATATTCTGATGCTCGTATCATAGTTTCCCAACCTAAAAATGTTTTAATCACATCAAAATTCTCCTGACACCATAAATAAATATAACTAGGAGGGTCGACTATTTATATCTGTGGCTTCATCATATAGCAGAAAGCAGCACAAATGATTTAACTTTTTCACACATCATGCCCTGTTAAGCCTTAATTCAACATGCTCAGCAGTATTCCTTGTTAGGTTTATATTTTTAAATACTTGTTTAAATAACTCTTTACATTTGATCAAAATTATTTCACTGTAAAAGACTGTAATACCCAGATAATTTTTTCTTATCTTTATGAGAAGAACTTCATTAATTTTTTAAAATTGAAGTACAATTGATATACAAAATATATTAGTTTCAAGTATATGACACTTGGTTCAACAGTTACCCATATTATTAAATCCTCTCCCTAACTAGTGCAGTTACTATCTGTCAACATAGGGAGATGTTACAGGATCATTGGCTATATTCTCCATGGTAATTTCCTCATTTAACATGTAACTGCATCACATAGCAGCATTGCTTATTTTATTTGAAAATAAACCTAAAGCCTATTGAAATACTAGTCCTTTTTCTAGTTTATTAAGTTTTTTATCACAATCTTTTCTATATGCTTGCCAAAGTTCTTACTGTGGTTTTATTCACTGTGGTTTCCATTCAGTAGAGACACATCTCACATACTGATTTTATGGAAATATGCCAAAAATTGACAAAGCAGCAAGCTCTCACTCATTTTACTTGAACATATGGCCCTCTTGGCACACGTCTCATTTTTAGATAGAGACATGAGCATTAGAAATGTTTTACTTTCCTCTTTAATATAAGAAAACCAAAAGTGTAACCACAGTGATAAATGGCAACTTTTCACCTGTCCTTACCAGAGAAGACAATGGAGCTCATGCCCCATCTAATGATGCCTGCCCTTAGCTATAGCAGTTAACTGTTGCCATGTGAGAATGCTGTCTCTACATGGCTCAATTTTTCCAATGTTTCAGGAAAAGCCAGAAACCTGGGTTTTTGTGTCAATCTTCTGATATTTTTCATGTGAACAACTAATGAAATTCTGAATGTAAGTAACTAATAAAAACAAAATTTTTTAAACACTGTCAGGGTCAAGTTTTGCAGACCCAACAAAATACATCTGAGGGCAAAGTTCAGGACTAAAAACAATTTTTACATTTAACTCTCATGATCAATCCTATGACGTAATTCATCATCCCCATTTTACAAATGAAGAAATGGAATCTATAAGAGGTTAAGTTATATGTATAAGGTCATAAGATATCAAGTCATGAAGAGTAAGGTGTAGGATTTCAATGCTACCGATAAAAGAGTTCGACTCCAAGGCCCAAGGTCCTAACTGCCTGTTCTATGTATATATATGATACATATAAAACAGACAAGCAGTTCTACGTTGATCTATCCCACATCCACATGAAAAATGGTAAACCCTGAGTGTAAATAAATAGATAAGCAAATGTACAAACAAAAGAACAGACCAATCCATCCTGAACAGATCAGGACTACATCTGCTTTCATTCTATTTCTGTATTTCCCCTGATGTTGCCCAAGATAGCATTGGCCTTTTGTCAGTTACATTAAAATGTGGTTCATAATGAGCTTCCTGTTATTTATATAACTAAAACCAACCGTTTTGCAGAGGAAGGAGAGACTATTACAGGCTTGAGTAATCAGAAGACTTGATATGCAAATATGTACTTATTCTTGCAAATGCTTAAAAATGCTTGAGCTATACTTTAGCCTTTATTAGATTCACAGAGAAAAGGAGCTCTAAATAAACTTATTTATTTAAAATAGTATCTACTGACTTGGAGCACTTTTAGGCCTTTATAAGGATTGACTAGATTTTAAACTGTATTGCTAATCTGGTTCAAATCTGTTTACAACTAGTTTTCTGAGAAAACACTGCAATGTTCCCCACCACAGCTCTAACTTACGTAAGGTAGGTGCCTCTGGTATTGATATTCATCATCAAATCCATTCGCTTCGTAGGTGTTTCCAATGTGTTGGTCAAGCTAATGGCACTGGCATTATTCACCAAAATATCAATTCCTGTTTTCAAATAATCAACTTCCTATTAATGTAATTTGAACTTTACAACAAAAAGAAATAAAAAACATTTACTCTATATAGTTGAACCCTAAGTTAGTTCACAAATAGTACTTTTATAAAGTATATGACTGATCAATGTACCAATGCCAGATCAGTAATATGAATGAACTAGCATCTGAAGAAAAGAAATTAAAGATTTCCTTTTTTTGTCCCTTCCTTCTTCTCTGCCTACTACTAGAAAAGTAGATCACACTATAGGTTGAAGATGCTGAAGGAACAATACCAGGTCCAATGGAAGACAACCTAAGCTACAGTGGCTAAGAAAGAAATCCAGAGCATCCACGCATCTGAATGAAACCTTTTTGGATGGGACAAAAGAGAGTAACAAAATTGGAGAAGACATTTCTGGGCTTTAATTTTTCAAAGAAGAGATTTCAACTTGGGTCTTGAAGTTCTCTGTGGCAACGAAAGAAGAATAAATTAAGTTGTGAGACTTTAATTTCTCTGTAGGAGCCCAATCCTGGCAAGCAGAGGGGCTTCACATTTTGACACTCTGGCATGACTCACTGAGCTGTGTGCTCACGTAGTGCATAACATATAACTCTTTCTAGTGAACCAGGTTGGACAACAGCTAGCATTCAAGATGGGAAGTTAAATACGGGTAAATTCTGGGCCTGTGTATTATGGCTTTAAGTACATTTAACTAATGTCTCCATTTCAAAGGTTTCTTGGGACAGTATTAGGCAATAGCTGAATTACTGATATTCTCTAGTAGAATTATAGGACAGAAATAAAGATCAAGAAAGTTCCCAAAGGTGGTAGCAGCCCTCCCCGATATTCTGATGATCCCATTCTCTTAGAAGGATAAACACAACTTTGGTTAGTACACACAATGGATCAACAGAATGAACTAAAACTGGATAAAGAAAAGCTCCAGCCTACCCCCATTTAACTTCTCCCTTAATTCCCCCCTAAAAAAAAAAAAAATGAATGCGTAAACTAATCAGGAAAAATCCTAATTGGCAGTAATTGGCCACTTTTACAAGCAGGTGAAGTTATTTTAGATAAAAAGCCCTGCACATGAATGTGGGTTCTTTTCCTTTCTCTTCCACATTTGTGGCCTTATCAGTAAAAAAAAAAAAAAACAAACAAAAAACCCACAATTTTCATTCTCTCCCCTCTTTTCACATAGGCATTCATATTACTTTGCCAGGTAGGGGTTTGACTTGGAAATTTAAAAGAAGAGGCTTCACTTGAGCTAAAGCTCTGTGCTCCAATCCACTTAACACAGTGCTCTGTATAGGAGGTTACAAGGAAGAGCCATGTTAACAATAAAGCGTTACTTTGTTTCCCTTTGGCCAATATCTTTGCATGTACATACAGTCTCTGGAATATTATGGGACGGGAAGAGGGGTAATGGTTTGGGCAGGATTTGGACATGGCTAGTTGCCTTGCTGTAATACCATCAAAGTCTTAATTCAACCCCCAAAACCAGCCTTCTAGGTGCTTATGAACTAACCGGGGAGCAAGAAAAAATTCAAAAACCCACACACAAAATAAGGATTAAAGGAATGTTTTAGGAATTCAGAGAAAGAAAAATACATTTCTGATGAGTTTGCATGGTCAGAGCATGAAGGAGATAAGACTGAAGCACAGAGAGGTGAGATTTCAAAGGTGGAGAAGGGAGCATTTCAGGAAGGATTGGAGGTGGAGAGGTGGGCAGGGGAGGAGCCTCAGGAAGAGAAAAAGTTAAGAGGCAAAAACTTCAAGGTAAGATATAGAAGTAAACAATTTTGGGATGAGTAGGGAGTTTACATTGGAGTATAGAAGATGGAATCAAAAAAAGTCTGTTGAGATCATAATGCCACTAAGCTATCTGCACTTCATCTAATAAATATCACTTGATCAAAAGTCATCAAGTGATAGTTACATTAACTGAGAAGAGTCAAGAGGATGGGATCTAGGGAACTAGTTGGTTAGATGTATGTTACTGTCAAGGTCCTAATTTAATATTGGGTGATAGATTTGTTAATATTATTCGAAATAATTTTAAACAATTTTTAAAAAGTCATCAGATGATTTTAAGCTACATTTCTATATGAGCAAATACTCATTTCTGGTTTTAAGTCAAAGATTCAGAAAAGAATTTTAATTAAAATTACAGTTACACCTATATTTAACCAATATTCAACGATTATCTGAGAATTAAGGCACTACCTCCAAATTTCTTGACTGCTTTCTCCACTGCATTACTGATTTGCTGTTCATCTCTCACATCAACAACACATGGCAAGGCTTTTCCTCCAGCTGCTTCGACTACAAAGGATAAACAAAAAAAGTATTAAAGCATTCAAATATCAAACCTTTCATTCTGATTTAAGAGTCAAAAGAAATAGGTACCTTTTTTTCAGAAAATCAGTATAAATAACAATGTCTTGTAACTACTACTGACTCCACCCTACAGTAAAATAGATTGACTAACCCATATCCAGCTTCAGACTAACTAGGCCAACTCTATTAAAAAACAAAAATAAAGGATGGTAATTAAACATAAAATTCTATTAAAAAGCAAAAAAAAAGGAGGTAATTAAAAATACCCTTATTATGGAAATACTCAAAAAAATATACAAAAGTATAAAGAGTAGTATAATGAACTACTATAAAATCACCTATCTTCAACAATTGTTAATGTTTTGCCAGTTGTTTTATCTACTCCCATTATTATTTTGTTCTTTGCTGGTGTATTTAAAACAAATCCCAGGCATCATTTCACTCATAAATATTTCCTCTGTATTCCCTTAACATAACCACAGTGCTATTGACATAACTAACAAAACTAGCAGTATCAACTGAAGTTGAATTTTGAAGCCCTTCCTCCTGGTACTGTGACTAGCTCAATGCTTTGAATACAAGCACTCGATAATCATTTGTGAATTGACACTATTAAATAGTGACTTGTGAATGGTGCAGAGAATAAATGACACAGAGAGCTTTTCCAAAGTGTTCACCTCATCCACTTTAGATTCTCTCCCTACCACATCTACGCCCCCATTCTCCACTCAAATCCAAAGACCATTGCCCTCATTGGACATAATTTTTAATGGGAGTCTCTCCTATCACTCAGAAGTGCTGGGGGGAGAAAACTGGTTCCAAAGCACTGCTCTAATGTGATAAAATACTTCTTTAGCCAGATGAAATTATTTTTAAGGGAGCTTTCAAATAGCCATCATTAAACTCTCCAGCAAATTCTCTATGTAATGAAAC